ATCTGAATGAAAAATATGTCAGTATACTTTAAATTTTCACATCTCTATATGACTGAGAAAAAGCATATTTTCATACATTTAGAAGATAGGTGACTTTATTTTCTCTGCAATATTTGTTCATATTGATTTTTCTATTGGGCCATTTTGTTCCTATTTATTTGAAGATGTTCTTGACATGCTAGAGACAGTAGCCCTCTTTCTGTGCAGTAAACTGCAAATATTTTTTTGCTACTTATCTTTTTAATTTATATTTATAGTTTTGTAATGCAGAATGTGTATTTAAGTGTGTGTGTGTGTGTGTGTGTGTGTGTGTGCATGTACGAATTTATCAATTTTTTTTCTTTCATGGGTTTTGGGTTTTCAAACACATTATTTTAAAATACTCTAAAACTAAGGTGTCTGGGAAGACAGTGGCAATATAATTTTCTTTAATCTCATAGTCTCCTTGTAAAAACAGAACAACTCATTCATTGTGGTTCACAATAGCCAAAAGATGGAAGCAACCCAGGTTCATCAATAGATGGATAAACAAAATGTGGTCTATCCATACAAAAGAATATTATTCACCCTTGAAATGGAAGGAAATTCTGACACATGCTACAGCATGGATGAACCCTGAGGACATTATGCTAAGTAAAAAAGCTAGTCACAAAAAGAAAAATCTGTATGACTCCACTTACATGAGGTTCCTAGAGCAGAATGGTGGTTGCCAGGGGATTGGGGAAATAGGGAGTTACTGTTTAATGGGTACAGAGTTTCAGTTCTGTGAAATGAGAAGAATTCTGGAGATGGATGGTGGTGATGCTTGAATGACAATATGAATGTACTTAATGCCACTGAACTGTAGACTCAAAAATGGTTAAAATGGTAAATTTTATGTGAATGTGTATTTTACCACAAGTAAAAAAACAAACAAAACAACTGGGATGGCAAAACACAAAGGTCACTAATAGCATTATATCAATACTAAGTAACCAGGCATGCATGCTCACCAACCCAAGAGCACGAGACACTGGGCACAAACCACCACCAAACTGCATGGCTTGGGTGGAATTACAAACTGGGAAGATGTGGAGTGAGGACATAAAGTGTCATGGGCCACGAAACCCAGACTCCCCAGATTGCTACAGGGAACCACAAGGAAGTTTGGCAGGCCATTTGAGAGTAGCAGTGGAAGGGGACTTCATAGGCTCCTATTTGCTAGAAAATGCCAACACTGAGAAACTGGACTTAAAAGATAAAAAAGTCCTTTGGGTGTTCAAGCAAAATGACCGAGTCACTACAAGGGGAGAGATTCAGGTTGTCATCAGAGCTCTGACAGCCAACGCTTTATGCCAAAAGATAAGGGTGGAACTTATTTGCTTCTCATTGTGCCAAAGATTTTATATTCAGCCAAAATGGCCTTCAAGTATGAAGGCTGCAGCTGAACTGCTACAACACGCAAGTTCTTGGCGGCAGTGTTCCCACACGACCAGCGTGAAATATCTGCCTGCCAGAGGGCTGCCTCAGAAAACCAAGTGACTTGGAGAGTCATCAGGAAAATGTGCTGGTGAGCATCCACCACACACCTGCCTCTAGAACCAAGACCGATAAACATAACGGAGCTGGTATCATACGTATGGCTCCATACTCTGAAAAAGTAGAATCCACATGACCATCAAAACATAGGGAGGAATAGGGAGATTACACAAGTCCAGTGTGCTTGCTGCCTACCTTACAGGCATTAAGAGGGAATACAGGGATAGTACTACCTTAACAGAGATGCTGGGGGAAAAGAAGGGCAAGGTGAGGAAGAGGTTATCAGTACTCACATGCTGCTCAAAGTGGGGAGCCAGCAGACAGCAGGAACCCCCACCCCACCCAGCAGAAAAAGAAAACCCAAGGACGTCCTTGAGATCAACACCATCAGGGGGACTATTAGAACAAGAATACCAGGCACCACACCAAAGGACATGGACAGACAGGGAGGAGGGAGAAGGGGGAGGGGAGGCAGGGACAGAAGGGACAGAAGGAATTTAGACCCCTTCTAACCTTCTTGGTTTCGCTGATTTGACTTTTGAATTACATAAATATTTCACATAATTATAAAACAAAGTTAAACTTAAAAAAGTAATTCAATAAGACAAAAGTCAAATAACAACATAAATCAAATGCAACAATGAAATAAGTAAACATAAGAAAGAGATGGTGGCAGAGCCACACAGACAACCCTCCCAGGGCTTTAACGCAGAGAGATGAGACTGCAGGGCATGGAGGGATTTCCCAAAGGATAAAAAGACTGCCAAGGCACAACATCCCCAGGATGCCTGGGGAGGCACAGGCACCCATGGGGAACTCTGTTCTCTGAAGAATTCCTGTGGGTTGGGGCAGTTATGTCGATGGAAATGTGTTTATATATTTAAAAGGGGGCATCTCTGTCTTTGAAAGATAACATGTTACATATTCTTATAAAGAAGAAAAAAAAAGAACAGGTATCAGAGTTCAAGCTTAAATATGAATGCTAGCCCACAGCACATGGTACAAATTTAGAAACCTTTCTGCTCAACACAAACCTTTGTCTTTAATGCAAGATGTCTCCTTACTGCTTTTTCCTTTTCAACATCCTAAACTTTCTGGCTCTCTAGAGGTATTCCTTTAGTCCCAGTCCCAGATAAATCCATGCCTAGTTCAGAAGTAGGTGCAGCAGAACCAATAATAGCTATAAATGAAGGGAAGGGATGAAGAAGTGACAGGCCAGCCTGCTGACTTTCTGTCCCTCTCGCTTCCCTTTCTGGCCTCTCTAAGTCAAGGGTCTAGCATTTAGTCACAAGCATCCTATAGTTAAAGCAAGTAATGTACGTAATTATGAGAAGAGTTGCAACTAATCCTTGGAAATGCACACATATTACACATTCAGGAAAAGTGATCTCTAAACCTGTTTGGTCAACAGTCTTATTTTCTGTGACAGTTCTCTTTTTAACAAAACCTTCTGCTCCACAATTTATTACACTGCAGCTCTGTTGAAGGCCAGTTCAAAGCTCTGAATTACTCCTTCATCCTGCATGTCTTTGATTACCCCATTACCCTACCATTTCTGTGTGTCTCTGCCCCAGGCACGAGCAGGCTGTCAGGGACAGAGGGCAGGGCCCACCAGGAGCAGGAGAGGGAAAGCATGGCTCTGGGGAGTCAGCTGCTGTGTTATGTTAACTCACATAACTGCACAAGTAGAGGACAGCAGAGGCGCACCACTGGGCCCCACAGTGGTTTGTTCCTCAACCCTCTGGGTGGAATGCAAGGTTAGGCGTGCTGCACAGGGCAGTGAGGGAGCCCTGGGAGAAACCGGGGGCATGGTCTGGGCCAGATCCAGATGAGCTTCAAGGATGCGGACTTAGCCTGGCAATGAGGCACCTGCTGACGTGATTTAAGCAAGGCTTTGGTCTGTACATTAGAGAGGTCATTTCCGGGGTGCACAGAAGATGGTCTCCAGACATGTGTAGGCAGCTGTTGAATAACTCAGGCAAACAGAAGGGCCTGCACACCAGCATGAACAAGACTAAGGGCTGGATTCCAGATCATTCTGAAGGGGTATTTCCAAGACTGGATACAGGAGGTTGGAGCCACAGGGAGAAGGCAGGGGCCATGTTAGGAAGGAAAAAACCCCAACTGAGATACCAGATCAGAGAGCAAGATGGCTAATACTATCTCATATGGACGGCGGCTCTCTACTCTCAGCAGAAAGAGGAGACAAAGCAACAACCAAAGACCGTGGAGCCTCTTTAAGAAAATATTAGGCACTTAAAGCGAGCATGTCTGTGTGCTAGGAGGGGGCACCCCAACAGGTGGCCTGTCTAAACACCCACACATCCACAGCGGCAGCACACCGCCGCTTTACAGGAGAGAAGGAGCCCAGTGCAGCCAAGGCAGGCAGGCCTGGGACCCGGCACGGCCTGGCCCGGCGCCACACGTGCGCTGCTCTCCGCCCTGAGCTAACGGGGGCTCTCTTCCTCTTGCTTTTGCTGCCACCTGCTGAATGCCTGCAGATCTGCCTCACGTTAAAAAATCAGGAACAAAGAGGAAAAGTTTGTTAATGTTCAAGTTTAGAAAAGATGCCCTCTTCAGCAAACCACAACAACAGTTATACATCCTGTCTTCCTGCTCTTTCTGAAATCTACCCTTTGCAGCACAAAGCAGCTGAGGCCGAAGAGCATTATTTCATTCCACAATGATCTCATAGTCGGTGAGCATCTGACTGATGGGTAACAATCACCGGGCTCATTTTTAACTTATGAGTACTTTAAATAATCCATTTAGGTGTTCATACGAAGCATACACACAACAGTATGTTCTTATGACTCTCAAATACCTAGACCAACCTGACTAACCAAACAACTGATCAGGTAGCAGCTCTTAGGGAACCTGATACTAACAGACATAAGAATAATTTGTGATTATGATACCAATTATATGTATCAAATCAGCTATACTAAAGTTAGTGTTTCTTAAGTGCATTAAAAGTTTTCTCCTAAGGAAATTAATTATATAGATCCCTGCAATATTAGATAGTTTATCAATATGGTTAACAAAGCTTTCCCTGTACATAATACAAATCTAAATTCAACCCTATTTCAACAGAAACAATTTCTAAATTAGGAGACAAATTAACCTGACATTGTTCATCTTTCAGTTTATAAGAACTGTGCTCCCTGATTCTTCTTGGAAGGCTCATTGAAGAACAAAGTTAACTAGAAACACAAGTTGGTGTATTAAACACAGGAATTAAAGCAGAGGTTCAAAATCTGACTTTGACTCTGTTAGCAGAGGGACCACAGTCCAGCTGTCTGACAGCTCTGCAACCTGTTTCTTTATCTGTAAACTGTGGTTGTGCTGAGAGAAGGAAACCAGGGACAGAAGCCACCCTCCTGGTCTGGCACACAGGGAGGCCAGTGCATGTTAGTTAAATCCAAGTGCTTTCCAACCAGAGGCTTACAGGCATGCTTCCTTGTGACCCGCTAATTACAAACCTGAAATTTTTCCTTTGGAATGTTCCTCCGGGCTCCTTTGGCTAAAACCAAGGCTTCTTCCACTCTACGGCTTGCTAGAAGATCCTGTATTTGTTTTTCCAGAGGTAATGGAACCAAGATGTAAACTCCTTTACTTGTGGCAACAATCACTCTTCCTGGGAAGAAATTCAACACTGTTGGAAAGGGAAAGAACATACTGCCTGCAAGAAAATATACTGCTTCCCAGAAATGGGGTCATGATCTGATTTGCTGATCAATTTCATCATGGTTTAACCAACGTAGTTTAATAACAGGAATGCCTACAGTGATGATAAATTATAATGCTTTGCTTTTCTTCTTCCCATACTTTCAATTGTTAGAAAAGGGCGAACTCTTAATACTATATTTCCAAAGTATAAAATATGCTTTTCTGCCTTTTTTTAAAATTCAAAAGTACTGATAAATTTAAAAGCAATTGAGTAGATATACAATACATAGTCCAGTGAGATGTGGAGCTTAATTGTGGAAAGCTGTCACTAAGATTTTGATATACCTCACATAAAATTTTTAAGTCTTTTTTCTCCATGTTAGTTTACAGGAACCTACAATTACAATGTAACTCTCTGACCATGAAATAATATTTCATACTTGCCTACCACCCAGACATATAAGTCTCGGCGTTACCTTGTCATTTCCCACAGTCCTGTGAGTCACCATGACCATGGGTGACACCGTCATCCAAGTCTCACTCGTGAGACCTCAACCTGGCCCAGGTGGCCCACCCAAGTCGGAACCAATTCAAGACAAGCTCCTACTACAGAACTTTTAAATTGAGCTCTGCTCCCTTCTGGAGACACTTGTTAAGCTATTATCTGTTCACAGGGAGTGATGGAACGATTTTCCGTTTCTGTCAGAGGATAATTCAGCATTAGCCAAGTCTTTTCTGCTCCCTCTGCTCTCCCCTGCTGGAATCCATCATGCCCACTCCAGTCCCACTGTGGTGTAACTGAAGCCTCATCCTTCCCTGCCTGAGTGTTGTCACCTCTTCCTTCCTGCTCTTGCTGCTCTGCTTTCTTGCCTAAATTATTGTTTTCTATATCGAGCCAAAGAAATTTTTCTCCTACTCAGATAAAATTCTGTCCCTTCTCTGCACTGAGGTCCTTTTTCCAGGAAGCCCCCTTTGTGGTCACCTAAGGTGGGTTGTATCATCAGCCTCTGTGTGCCCATGAGCCCTGTGCCTACCTCTGCCACTCTGTGTACACAGCATAGGAATACTGTCATGAAACATGCTCTTCTACTATGGGAGTCAGGGCCCCTGCTGGAATCTGATATGCTCATGTGGGGGCTGTGAATCTTAATAAGTTTACATCCTCAGCACCCAAAATAGGAAGGGTAATGTTTGGTGAGTTAAAATCCTTAATTGCAATTGCAACACATACATCTAGATTAGTTCCTGGTTTGAAGAAGAAAATATCACAAAAAGCATCCTTAAGACAACTGGAGAAATATGAACATAGGCAGGAATTAGAGTTTTTCTTCTCAGGTATGGAAAGGGCTTTGTGGTTATATTAGGAAAATACCCTCATTCTTTGGAGATGTGTGTTAAAGCATTTCACTTTAAATGTCATGATGTCGTCCACTTATTTTTAAGTGGCTCTGCAAAATGTTAACAAGTGTTCAATCTAGGGGAATGGTATTCAGTAGGTGGTTCACTATTTTTCTTTCAACTTATAAGTACATTTGAAAATGTTCATAAAACTTAGGAAAAGTGAAGTAAATCTCTCATCTGACTCACTGTTGCACAGGAGAGGAAGTCCTTCCTAACTGCCCTGGTCTGTGGCAGCCTCATCTCAGGCCACCCCTCTTCACATGGCATTGCTTGTGTGGCCTGAAACCCACGGTCCCTCCGGTGCAGACCTGCATACACCTTTCTGTCTACCTGACAGGCCTTTCCCACCACTTCTGCTTGACTGACTCCTACTTATCCTTAAAGGTTTGGCTCAAAGGCCACCTCCTTCAGGAAGCCCTCCCTGATACTTCTAGGAACTGCTTCCTCCTCTGCTCTCCCAGTCGGTCTTATTTCACTTCTCTCCAGCTCTTAAATTACTGTAGCTATTTGTTGAAATGTCCATCTCCTCATTAACACTGGAGCTTCTGAATCAATGAGACTATATAACCATCAGCTATGCTTTATGGTTAGCATAAGGCCCAGTTCCTAATGGGCTTTTGATAATATTTACTGAAGAAATATAAAAGGGCTGATAACCAAATTTCATTTAAGATTTCCATGTGAACCAGTACCTTCAAAATCCTGCAAAATATGGCCTTCCTTAAAGGGCAGGGTCTGCTTTTGCTGCTGATCCAGCATGCTGTGAACTGTGATGAACTCATCGTCCAGCGCTATGACATATGGAAAGCAAACGGCCGCCCCGAGGACATTCTCTGGCCAGTGCACAGGAGCACGTTGAGATATCCCAGCAACTGTGGCAAACATGCCTACAAAAGAGAAAGAGTTAGGTAGATGGCTTAAATGTGTCTAGATGCAGAATACCTGTCTCCTTCATTCTATTTCAAGATAGGGAAGATAACACAATATGCTACATGTGTGAAGACCCCATGTGACTTAACTTTTGTGAAGAGAATTACCTTCCCTAGGATATCCACCTTATATTTACTTCCAATTAAAAATGAAGTTAAAACATGTTTACATATACCCACATGAAGGTTTATAAAGTGCATGTCCTCACACATGGGGAAATGTCACTTTCAAACAAGCTAAGAAGCTTTGTTGGTTTACCCCTCTAATCACTTCTCTTCCTTACACATCCATTCAGCAATGATGGCTGCTCAATGGACACTGAATGCATTCATTCATATTATTTATCAAGACCTACTATGTGCCAGGCACTCTACAAGGCATCCTACCAGGAATTGTCCCTGCTCAGAGATGAGGTCTCATTCTGGAGACACAGACACTATATGAAGAGAATCAACTTTTGCAATTGAAGACACATTGTTGGTGTTGGTCAGTAGTAACTTTCACATTAAATGACAGTTTATCTGGTAAATAAAAGACTAAAGTAGCCATTTCCAGATGAACTGTATATATTCCACAAATACTGGGGTTTACCAAATCGGTACATTCACCATGAAAAGTAAATCCATTTTAACTTTATTTTCAAAGTAGCTGGCATAAAACACCTTTAAAAACAGCATGCTGTGGGGGGCGGAGCCAGGATGGCGGCGTGAGTAGAGCAGTGGAAATCTCCTCCCAAAAACACATAGAGCTATGAAAATATAACAAAGAAAAATCTTCCTAAAATAGAGACCACAGGACACAGGACAACATCCAGACCACATCCACACCTGCAAGAACCCAGCGCCTTGTGAAGGGGGTAAGATACAAGCCCCAGCCCGGCGTGACCCGAGCACCCCTCCCCCC